ATCCTGAAGAGGGTACAGGCTCTGCTTCTTAGAAACAAAAATGCAGACAGAGGAATGGGACACTTAATGAGCATAATATATCTGGAGGCTTCAGACTGAGGACAACCTGTGCTAAATATCTGCCTTAAATTCTTTCTCAAAATGAAAGGTTCCTACTACAAAACAGTCAAAATTAGTGGAAAATTAATCAAAACCTGACTGGAGGACACTGGCCTTCAATGAAGGTTATGTCCATGTTAACTTTGCTGTGACTGTCATAGTTCGGGAGGTTTAATCTGTGTGGAAAACATTTTTTTTCTTTTTCTTTTTTTTTAACCATTGCCACTTCAAAGTGGATGAAAGAACACTGTAAAAAAGAGACTTAGGAAAATCATCTAGGAGCAAAAGCCACAGAGAGGAAATTTGAAGCCACAGGATACTTTTTTAGGAAAACTGAGCACATGAAAACAGGAAAGGAGATGATTAAATTGAAAATATTTGGCAACCTTAAGTATAATAGACACCGGTAATCTTTTGCTGATGTGTTTATTGTATGAACTGCACATGAACAAGCTGACTATATGCAATACATGTCACATTTCAGGTGTGAGCCAGATTATGTGTGCATCACTTTATGATTCCCAGCAATGTGTGTTTTCTCACCAATGCTCCCAAAATCCCCGTGGAATATGGAGACTATAGAATTGAGACTACAAACCTTAAGATTCAAATACTTCATCAATAAGGCAAGGTGAGCTGCTCTACCATTCATGCATCCCTTTCTATGGGAAGTGTCATAGAGCCATGAAACCTGGACTTCATATTGGGGTCATATTGGGGTCTCTTGTTCAACCTCAAAGAAGTACAGTGAGAAGACATCACTGCAATAAATCAGGGGGATTGTATTATTTGTCAGTTCTATCAAAGGTTGATAATCGTTCTCTGTGAGTTGGGTATCTGAATTACCTTGTCTATAGTGTTTACCCCTTAAAGCACAGAAAGGAAGGCAACCTGTGTGCCTGACTCTGCTGCTTTTGCTCTTTGCTCATACCCCTGAGCTACAGCTGATTCTGTAGCATGGTAGCATTTCATTGTTTTTAAAATAAATATCTATAAATTAAAATGGATTTTGTTTATCTTAGAGGCAGTTTAAGATAACAGAAAGGAAATACTGGAAATTCTTAGAAATGTTGGAAGACAAAAATGCTTGAACATATTCCCAAAGATTTTATACCTTTGAGATTAACTGTATCTTTGAAAGGGGAAGATTTAACCCAACTCCGTGGGTCCAGTGGCTTCACAGGGATAATCCGCTGCTGTCAGAGGAGAAGGGTTATGTTATTTCATTATAGGAGATCTCCATCTTTTTAACCCATGTTCCTGAGAGATGACTGAGTGTCTCTCCAGTATAAGGGTTTGGGGATTTCCAGGGGGAAACCCCATACAGCAAAACTGGCTCATGGCACTACATGCTTGGGAACCCTAACTCTACTTCCAAAGCCTCACAATTTTTCCATCAACAGTCACAGCACAGTGATTTATGTGGGATCAGTACAGTGAGGAGCTGACAGAGGTGTACTGCTCATTGTATCCTGCTACTTAGGTGACTCCCAGACCAGGTTACCCAAGAGGACTCTGGGGAGTGGACAGGGAAGATACTGAGCTCTGGCTACCAGCAGGACACAGCCGGACGCTGCCCCCATCTCCTTGCTGAGAAAAAGTTAAATGTTTTTCCAATTATAGTTTCAGGTAAAAGCTAATCAGGGACAAAAACATCTAATCCCAGTGTCACTGGAATCACAGATGCTTGGGTCCCTTTTAAACCCCGTGAGTAAGTGATGTCATTCCTGATGGAAACAGGCAAGTTCCCCTTGCATCAAGATTTCTTTAGAGTCCCCTACAATCTGAGTTGTAAGCCTGAGCCTCTGTATCTCTACAGAAAAGAAAATAAAAGCAGATCACAGGGATGCTGAACTGCAAAGAGAACATGAAGCTGTTTTGTCTGGAAGGGCCAAGACTCTACCTGGCACTGGGACAGGGGTGTGCTTCAGATCTCACCAGCCTATGCTTGGCATAGCACTGAAGGGCCCCAAGCAGAGAGGGTTGGGACTTAGTTATCCACATGTTGCTTCTCATCAGGGCAGCACTTTGTTTCAGCCACAGGGAAAGCAAGAGCACTTTTGGATCATACAGGCCAATTTACTAATGAGAAAATTCTGACCCTAATGAGAAATGAGTAGTCACATTAATGCAGGAGGATATGTTGAATGTCATCATGTATCATCAAATCCATTGTCATAACCTTTAAATTCCAGTTATCTCTTCCTGTCCGAACAAATCAGCCTAAATTCTCAGACCAACTCACTGATTGCAGACCACAGTGCTGTCTGTGGATGTTTGCTTTTCTCTGAAACCAGCTTGCACATCCCCCTGTAACTCCTCGAAAACCACCTCTGTTCTAACCATCGGTTGTAAGGTGAAGTATGAGCACAAACTGCTTTCAATTTCCATCGCCAGTTTTCTACATTAGACTTTAATTCTCAAATTGTATGTTCACAGTTGCAGTCAATAATGACTACAGAATTTCTATTGCATTAACTGTAGCAAACTGAAATCTAATACCTCTGAAAATACAGAAAATAACCCAAGTGTTATACAAATAAAAAAAATATTTCTGAATGGAGCCCAGCAACTCTCCTCTAATTACTTTAAATTTCAGTGTACAGAAAGTATGTTGAGTGACAAGTCAATTTATTTGCATGCTGGAAAAGTTCATGTTCTAGGCACGTGTTTATATGACAACAGCTTCAAGCATATGCTTTTTATTTTTCCCAAACAGACAGATGATTTTTTTTTTCTAGAGGCTCATAATAGGTTTTCTGCTCATATGCTACAGTTAGCACACATTTTCCTTACTTATAGTTTTGTGGGTGTGAATCTACTGTTCTTGGAAGATGTTGGATTGACAGTCCTGCAAGATACTCCAACTTGCCCCGCTATGTTCCTTAATCCTGACCTGATGAAAACATCTCCTGGGGAGAGAAAGATCTTTGCTCTTCAGCCCCTGCTGGCACCTGGCTTCTTCACTAAAGGCTGCCCACAAACCTAGCCAGTAAGACCACTTCTTGGGGTACGCAGGATGGTTTGTGCATCTGCTTGGAGAAACTGGTTGAAGATTTTTTTGTTTACTAATCTGTTAATTCTATAGACACAAAAGCCTAAAATTCAGTTTTCTTGAGCATACTAGAAATTAGGATATGTCTCAAAGAATAATTTTGCATAGAGCTGAATTAGCCTTATAAAATTCAGTACTTTATATGGATTTCTAAAAGAGTACCAATGTCCTTGTTTTATATATTTTCATTTCACTAAGATATATTCTAAAAAGAAAAAAAAATGTTGATTGCCTACTTCTCTGCTAAGCTCCAGGTCCCTTTCACAATGATCACAATCAAACATTCAATTATGCTAGATTTAAAACCATTTTTTTAATAGAAGGAAAACTGCCTTACAGATGTGTTAAACCAAACCACAGCTTGGGGCTAGAATTTGATGGGATGAGTCTTCGTAAAATTCAACCTTAAGAAGATGCAGGAATACCTTTTGGAAATAAGTAGAAATTGAGTATTCTGTTCTTTACTTGGTTTTTAAAACTCAGTCCCTGAGACAGAGTGTGGTCCTTGCCTTGGCAGCAGTTCAAATCAGCTGAAATAAACCTGGAGGTTTCATTTTGTCTGGCTTGCCCAAGAGACAACTCTGATCCATATGGAGACTGAATATAAAGCATGTAGGCATGCAGTGACAAAAGGTGCCTACGGGAAGCAAAGGGCAAGAAATCAGGATGGGTCAGCTGAGTAAACATCAAAGACTCTCAGATAACCAACAGAAAAGTAAATATTCTCAAGCAAATGGGATATGCCCATAACACCATTGAGATTTTATAGAAAACATTCTTTGAAAAGAGTTCTGCTGGGGTGTCTCTATTTGTCTTTCCCTTTCTGGAATATTGAATTAAAATGGCCTGTTTGCTCTATAAGTTCATCAGTTCTTGCTACTCAGTCCCCAGTGCAGCCTCTTGACACCTCAATTATCTCTTCAGCAACTCCTGATAGTACCACAGAAGTTGGCATTGCCCATCTGGATATTTCTAATACACCCCACCACGAGACTTGTTTAGCAAAATACATGCAGGTACAGAGGATAAAAGGTATTTATCCATGAAAGGACTGTGCGAGGTCTAGGAATTATTTAAAATCCACTTAAACCCCATGAAGGCAAGAAGTAATGCATTTAAGGATTATTATCTGAGAGTATTAAAGGAACATATTTTAAAGACAAAAATCCCTACATGATTTCTATTGCTTCATTTCCTGCAGAAATTAAGATGAAAGATTAATGTACCTGTTCATTTCAAGGGCTCAAGCCCCTAACTTTGCCATTCTTTGGTAACAGCAAAACTGGTGTGAGCCATATATGACGTAATCACTGCTTATTATAATTGGTTGGGAGTTTTTTTGTATGTCAGTGTTGCTCTGGCTTAGGTGGTGATATCTCTAGTGTGCTGCACATGGGAGTTGATCGTTTTGGTTGCATGAGGAACCACCCCAACAGCTAATTTAGTCACTTAATATCTGGCATGAGTGGTGGGATGAATGAATGCTGCTGGAGGCTAAATCTCCTTTCACAGCTGTAGCAGAAGGGAGATTGCCAAAAGCTCATGCCGTAGCCTGTGATTTCAGGCTGAGGTATAGCAACTTTCTGGAAGCACAGTGGGACAATAAAAGATGTGCTAAATATACAAGTCCGTGGAAGGCAAATAAAACATATGAGTTTTCTTTTGGCTGCTGGTGGTGGTTGGTTGGTTTTGCTTGGGAAACAAGAATCTGACCCTGAAGCCGTTTTTTGCACCTCCACCTGTCCCTGCTGCTTGTTATTCCTGTTGCCACTGTATAGACAAAGAAAACATAGGATTTTTCCCATGTAACTGTTCCAATACCAGATTATCGTTATAGTTACATTACCTTTTGTGCAGTGGAGCATCTTTTTTCAATCTTATTTGTGTCTCCAGCAGATGTGGGTGTTGAGGGCAGGCAGGGCCAGCAAGCCAGCGGACTGGGCTGCCATAGCCTCTCCTGAGCTGGCAGCAGAGGAGCCCTCAAGCTGTGGGTTGGTCCCGCGTGGGTGCCATTAGAAAACCTTGAAAATGTAAGCCGTGGAAACCAAAGATAAAGGGCATTAATGTGAAAGAGCTCGTGAATGTTGTCTATCCCACAAAAAAAAAAAATATATATAGTTTAACAAAGATGTCTTCTTCCCTTCTCCCGCTGTTTCACAGACGTCGAGGTGTCGAGGTATCGAGGTTTAGTTTCCGTGGTCCCGGTCTCCAGCCACTGGCACGGCCTTTCAAAATTGGCGGTGCCTGGGAGTGAGGCTGAGCCTTGACAACTCCCACTGCTGCCCCATCCGCGCCGCTTCTTGGGGTACTGTTTGGAAACACCGCCCCACACACAGTTCCCCGAGGCGGGGCACACCGCTTCGACGCCGCAGAGCACCCTCCCCGAACCTCCCTGAGGTTTCTTGGCCGCTGCTTCTTCCGAAGGCGCGTACAGGATCCCGCCCGGCGGTGCGGCGACACACAGGCGCCCCAAGGAGCTCCCAGCACCGGGGGCACTGCGGAGCGGGCTCTGGGGGATACTAGGGACCGGGAGGGAGCCGCAACCCTGTTCCTCCATGTCCCTCCGGCTGCAAGAGCTGGACGGGGGTGGCGAGCGGCCGGGATTAACTGTGGGAGGTTACTCCGAGGCTCCGGAGCCCGGCAGGCAAATTTCACAAAGTGATGGCACAGCGTGTGCCTGTGTCCCCCGTGTGCCTCCCGAGAACTGGCGCTGGGGCATTCCACGGGGACTTCGCCCCTCGTTGCTGGAGTATCCCCGGCGGCGGGGACAGCCTTCCCAAAAGCCCGAGAACACCTTATGTCCCTGGCGCGGCGGACTCGTTTAAAGATCACCACGGGTGGGCGTTTGCTGAAACGCTAAGTTGACGGGCACGGGGAAAAGCGACTCGAAACTCTCTCGGTGCACCGAAGCGGACTCAGGAACCCATCACTCTGTGACCCCGCTGGTGGGAGTCCAGCATTTCGCCCGGCAGCGAAATTCAGGGCAGCAGGTTGCAGTGCCCGGGTAGGGAGAAGGCATCCCGCTGTCCTTGCCACGGGAGAAGCGGAGGACAGGACAGGCAGCCGTGCCGGGGGAGGTTCCGAGCCCCTCGCCGTGGAGCCTGGGCGCTCTGCGGAGACTGTTCCCGCGTCTGCGGGTCTGTGTGTCGCCGGGGTCAGTGATCGAAGCCTGGAAGTGCCAGGTGCACTGGCCGAAGGGAGCCGCTTTCAGTGTTTCCCCGGGTAAGACAAACCGGAAAAAAAAAAAATCTCCTCGTCGCGTTGCAAAATTGCGTTCATCGGGTTTTGCGGCAAGAATCGTCTCTGCTTTTTACCAGTCATTCCCCCTAATGCCGCGAAAACAGAGAACCCTCAGGCGAGCGGGAGCAGCCCGAAGGACTTGCCAGTCAAATCCCTCTCAGCCGCGAGAGCACCGCCTGAACGCGAATTCCCCTGGCCTCGGTGAACCGTCGATGCTTTTAATTAAACGCAGCTAACCCTTTTTGTTAAAACCCAGCCGAGAAGGGTTAGGTTTTTACTTCTCGGGAGGCAGACGGTGTGTGTTTGCCGCTGAGCATCAGACTCTCCGACCGGAGCAGGCAGTCTCTAAGTGCACCCCTGCCAGATCTGTAGGCACGAAGAATCTTGACAGGGAGAGACGTGGGGGTATCGCACCAGTTTGTTATCAATCCATTAAAGGAAAGACACGGGGGACAGGATCTGGACCCCTCTCCGGGACCGACAGCCCACCTGCTGCAGACACCCCAACTTTATCGAGGCACCCGCGCGGCTGCTGTGCAGAAAGCGAGGAGGGGATGCAGAGGCCGACCCTTGACGAGAGAGCAGGGAAGGGGCTCACGAGGGGCAGGGGTGTGTGAGGCCGCTGCCCCGGGCAACTACGGCGCACGTGCCGTCGAGGATCGCAGCGACGTTCCCCTCTGGGCTGGGGAGCGCGGGCGAAGGGACGCTCCGCAGCTTCCCGCGGGGCTCTGCGGGACACCCCGCTGGGGAATTCACGTTAGCAAAACGCCTTCGTGCGGGTCCGATAGCCTCCACGGGCGGAACGGGTCCTCCGTGGATGTCTGCGCTGTCTTTACAAAGTCCCAGGAGTTTACTTAATAAAGATCTGAAAACGAGAAACTCGCCTCCTCCTTTTTTCGGGGAGGGGAGAGGGGGAGGGCGGGTGGGGGTGATGGGGAGGAAGGTTGATGGCCACAGCCCTGAGTCTTAGCGGGTGTAGTATGGCCAAGACGAGGAAGCCCCTGCGCCCCGCTGCTGCCCGTCCCGGCACTGTGGTCCCCGCGGTGCGCGCAGCGAGCGCGCAGGCAGCGAGCAGAAAAGCGGCCGCGGCGACGGGCGGGCAGCGGTAGCGCGGGGCGGGCAGCGCTCGGGCAGGTGCGGACAGTGCGGATGGCGAGGGCCCTGGTACGGCAGCGGCGGTACCTGCGGCACGGGAGGGTTCTGCAGCGGGGAAAGCCCCTGCCGCTCCCCTTTGCTGTTGGGAGCACGTCGGGCCGCGACGGCGAGCGATCAGAGAGCCCTCGAGCTGGACGTGAGCCTGGAGTCACGGGGGACTTGCCGTGGCCCCGCTTGGCAAGCACAGGGCCTGCTTACCCTCACTGCTCAAACACAGTCTGGAGCACGGTGCAGGCTTGCTGCTTGCTTCGATGAGGTCTTCGGAGCCGCTTGGATGGGGGATAAGTTGGAGGAACGAGAGGAGGAGTTATTTGATCTATTTCCTAAAGCGAATGATCCTTCGCTTTGCTTTTTCTTTCCTTTATTTTTTTTTTCTTTGTTCTCTAAAGTAATATTTTATTCGAAACGAGTACCCAAGATAAATAAATGCGGGCAGGTACATACTGCTTCCCCCACCTGACCAATCACACCGATGACGTGGGGAAAGACTGGCGAAGGAGCGGGCAATACGAACTCTACCGGGGAAAAAAAAAAACAACAACCAAAAAAACAGGGGATGAAAGAAGAAGGACTTACAGCAAAGCCCCTATCTCAAGCCCCAGGGGAGGAGTAGTCAGTAGGTTACCGTGAGGAGTAGAGATTAAGTCTACCTTTACCCTACTCAAAACTAAGAAGCATCCCAGAATCTGTGCCACCGAACAGCAAGGAGGCTTTCAAGATACCCCTTTACTGGGTAAAAATTACTCCGGGCATCTCTACCTCCCTCAATTTCTCCCCCTCCGCTCCCCTCCTGCACGTCGAAACCTGCCGAGGAGCACAAAATCGGCCTGGTACTGCCATGCACCTCCACGGAGCAGGCCTACAGGTTTTCCTGTACTTCTGGGATTCCCTGTTGTAAGCTCTTAAACAGAATATTGAAACAATTTTGCTTTTGGTGCCTGTTCTTGCCTTGTAGCTCTGGCACTAAACAAATAGGAAAAGTGTGTTAAAGGGAGGCTACGGTTACAGCATCTTGGCCTGACATTCCCACATATAATTAAAACCATAGCCACAATAATACATAAATAAATAACAGCAAACAGAAGGAACCGTTCCTGTTCCAGTCGAAATCAACTGTTTTGGCTCTGTCACTGTATTATTTTGTTGGAGCAGTCTACGTCGTTCCCTCCTAATTTTATTTTAATTTATTTTAATAGGAGAGACAACAGAGAAAGAAATGATGCATTTGGGTTTTCTTCTTTTAAGTCCATGTTTAGTTTTAATTTTCCTGTATTTTAAAATAAGCACGTTGGCTGCAACGTGTTTGATCTTTGCAAGAAGGAAGTCTATATTGTAAAGGAATGCGCAGCAGTTTGGTATGAAAATGGGGTTGTGACTCACAGCTGCAGGCAGAAAAAAAAGGTGTTGTGGTGTCAGCCAGAGGTGTTCAGTCTAATAACTCAAGCTGTAAACTGTATCCTCTAAAATTACTTACGTAGTAAATCATTCAGGGGTTAAAAAATAGACTGGAAAGTGTAAGAGAGGAAAAAAAATCTTTCAGAAGTTCCCTTCATGAAAATTATTTGCAATGATGGGAATTAGGAGTTTAATATTTCCCACATTTTCTTAAATGTCTGATACAGTTAATTGCCCCTGTATAGCCGATGGTGTATACTCTCGGTCGCTCGCGAAGCAGCAGAAACTTGTTTGGGGATAACCGTTTCATCGACTGCTTTACCCGATTTACAGTTAATTTTGACCATCTAAAAGAGAAAAAAAAAAATCCGAGAGTGAGTGTTTCGTAATCATTCAGTACCGCAGCGAAAACCCTCCCAAAAGAGCCTCCTTTGCCCGCATAGTCGAGCAGTCGAGGGCAAAGCGCCTCTGACATGCCTCTCTCCTCGATACACGCCGAGACACGGCATGTTTCCATCTCTCTTTGCCTCACGTAGGTGTATCTAGTCTGGCAACAGCTGAGAAACTGGGGAGGCTTTGAACGCAGATCTCTCTTCCAGCCTAACTGCTTGGTTTGCAGCAGTCCGGTCCGGGAGGAGAGCGAAAAAAATAACCCCCAACTTCGGTGTCATCTCTAGCTGCGAAAGAATGGAGCGAGTAACGAAGCAGGAATCCGAAAGGTGCTTCCCAGGTCGAGATGTTGCCTTTCAGAAGAGCTTTCTCCGTTTCCAGCAGCGGTTACCTTCGCTGAAAAGGAGATGCTGGCCGTGACTTTCGGGTGGTTGCGCCTTGTCTGATGGGGAAAGTAACTTGTTAGGAAGATTTCCAACGGGAGAGACATTGAATGATTTGGGGGAAAAAAATAAGCAAAATAAGACAAAATAAAATAAAATAAAATAAAATAAACCTGGGAAAAATGCCCTATAGAGGTCGGCAAATGTTCGCAGTGGAAATAAGAAGTCAGCAACAATTAAAATCTGGAAGCCAAGTACATTAGTATTCAGCACATAGGATCTAGCTTTTATGTTTATCTTTCTCCGCGGATCAATATTGTAGCAGCATGTGCCGGGAACAAGCAGAAATCTGGCCACTGCATGTGGCTGACCTTTCCCTCTCTCCCTACAGGTCAGATCGTCTTCATCAAAACAGGTCAGATAGTCTTCATAACTATCATCACCTAATTCAGCCACAGCCACGGCTCTCATTAAAACTGGTATTTAATATAGGCGCTGTGACTAGATATCAAAGGAGAAGGGGTGTTTGCCCACACAGAGG